CTTACGGTGCTGTCAGGGCTGGGTGGGAGGGACGATACCGGAGACACTGGCGGTGACAGGACGGAGGAAGGCCGGGCTGAGGTTGTCGGAGACTGGGAGGAGGTGACCTCGTCAGGGCGGGTGGAGACGGGGGTGGACGGGCGACTGTTGGCGGGAGAAGCCGTCATGACGAGACCGACGACCTTCTGGTAGCGGTGCAGCATCAGCATGGAGATGTAGAGGACGACTCCCAGGCGGCGGTGGCTGTGCATGGCGGGGCTGGAGGTCGGGTGGCACCGCTTGTCGCAGCTGTCACACAGCGGTACCACTCTGTCGCGGTTGTAGGACACACAGACCGGGTCCAGACAGACCCAGGCCGCCGGCTGCTCGCACCGACCACAGCAGAACGACCGCGCCTTGGTGTCGAAGTCGTTGGCTCTCTTCAGGACCCACTCGGCCCGGGACCCGGCGTAGCCTGCGGGACGGGGACAGTCGGCTGCTCTCTCCATGTCGTCACGAACAAAGACGTGTGGAACTGAAGTCGGGAAGAAGTCGGCACGCTCTAGGTGAAAGTCTGGAGAGAAGTGAGTGCGGACTGAAGACGTGGGGCGGTTTTATGGGCAATTTTTCCGACAAAAGTGATTGACTAACAAAGGCGGTAAGTATCGGCGCCACGTGCGGCAGATGTTCCCGAGGAGCGCCCCAAGAGATACCGGCGGTCCGACCGGTCCGACAAGTCGGCTTTTGCCGGCGGCGCGTCCCACGTCAAACAGGACCAAACACAGCAACAAGCCAAATCCTTTGTTCATTTTTCAAATGTTTGGTCGGTCTCTTTTGGTACTAACCGCATGTTATGACAACACTCGAAGAGACTACACTTACAAGCCGCTTGTAGCGCATGATTCAAAGAGTTCTTAGACAAATCAAGCTACTTTAAGACGATAAAACTTAACCTAAGTAAAACAAATTATTCATCTTTAGAACAAAGGAGTTCTGCAAACCGTTACCGCTTTCAGACCAAGGAACACAATCGTCTTGCTACATCGAGCAAATTAAAATTTTTGACCAGTAAAACATATTTCTCATTCGTACAAATCACTTCGCATGAAGAGATGTACTAAATGACCCTTGATAAGTGTCGGACAGTTTTATGTGTTATTGGTCCCGTGAGATTTCATAATGGTGGTGAAGCGTGCCTGGACTGGCTGGAGTAAAGATCGTGCAGATATTTGTCTCGTGCCAATAATCATGAAACATTGTTTTCCAAAATGACGAAATTTGCAAGTTTTATGGCTGTCTCAGATCGCCAGTGATCGCCAAAGCTTTTTCTTACGCGTGCCTGGCGTAAAGATTGTGCAGATATTTGTCTCGTGTCAACAATTAGAAGCATTGTTTTCCAAAATGATGAAATTTTCATGTTTTTTGGTTGTCCCAGATTGTGCATATATTTGTCTCGTGCCAACAATTAGAAACATTATTTTCCAAATGATGAAATTTGCATGTTTTATGGTTGTCGCAGTTCGCCAAACCTTTTTTTACGCGTATATCATTCAATAAAACTACATAATGTACTATTTAAGTTCAATCTGCTTTAGGTACGTACTTTTAGTAGGTAGGTCAAGGTAGTCCCATACCTTTTTTGAAGCCGTAGGGGCAGTGCGTGTCAAGGACACGATATTGGAAGGCAGAGCCCATCCCTCTGCTTTAAATCAACTCTGGTTTAAGGTTGGCTTGAATTTACGCCTTTTGTCAGGTATCATATAACCATTCCCTTGATTATATGATTCGTAAGAAAGTTGGTACGGTCCTACTGGTACTATGTATACTGCAATATTGTCAATCGTAGCCGTTTTGGTATGAAAACCTTTTTACTTTGCAGACAGACAAAGGTTTGAAACCAAGATCCCAAAGCTGTCGCAGGGTAGACATTCTTGACACTTCGCATCCCCCCGAGGCTAGAGTCAGCTGTTGATGTTCTGATATGTTTTTGTCGTCACTACGGATGTCTACAGGCCTTCAGTCAACCGTTTAGTGCTTATAGAATCACAAACAAATATCTTAGACAATGGGCACTCTGTAAAGATGTGTGGAATGAATTAATCTTAGACGTACTCAGGGTTCTCACCAGCATTTTTTTCGCATCTTAGGGGTCAGGTACAGAAGGGAAACCTTCTACGGCGCAAGTCGCACATTGACTTCCAAAAACATGACCACAGCAGGGGGTCTGAAATTCTTCCTGAAACATTTAAAAAACTTATAACCCTCTGAGACACCATTTCGTACATATTGAGGGACAGATCTTGTAAAGTTAAATGTTTTCCCTTTGTTATATCTTCGAAGTCATTCGTACTTTCATATTATTAAAAGATTTATGAAGGTTATCCCCTCGAAAAACACCCTTATGCTGGTTGAAAGACAGTGCAGGGGGCTAAATGGCCTAGCTAGTGAGAACTATGGCACTGTTCTTTGTCTACACAACCACAACTTATCTGTAAGCTATAAAAGCGGATTGGTCCATCCAGGTTGTGTTTGTGAGTAAACCGCCGCGAGGCCGGAAACCATCCCGGCAGAACCAGGTGTGCGCGCCCGAGTGATTTCCACGTGAGCTCGGCCCGGCTTTGTTCTACCTGCCCCTGCACCTGTTGCAGGCTCTGGCTTGTCTCAGTTGTCTTAATTCGTGTGGAATGTAAGGGATCGCGCTTTGTGTGATATTCTCACGAGTTTCGTAATAGCCATTTGCTCTACATAAACATCAAATACCAGAGTTATCAACCCAGAATTGAGGTGTTCAAAAACTCGTATTTTCCAAGAACTATTGTAGAGTGGAACTCGTTGCCACCAAGCACAGTTGGGGCATCATCACTCCTGCAATTAAATGTGCAAGGATTATGTGTAACAAGTCGTTCAGTGTGATATAGCTAGCTGCTGCCGCGCCGGGTGCCTGCGAAGCTAGTGTGTTACGCTGAAGGGTGGTTATACCGGCTATATGGATACAGATATAGAATCATAACCACTAAGTACAATAAGATCGTCCACAACACACACACGCACATAGTATATTACATACATACACTCGACCAATGAAGTAATGATATTTGAAACAGGAAACTCTCTGGTTCACATGTGCTAATACGCTGTTCAGGCTAGCTAGCTTTCAATATTGTTGTTGTTTTCAGTTAACCACAAGAGGATGTACGCGCCATCAAGCGAAGCATGCAGCAGTTACAGGGGCAATGCCAATGGGCTCTGCATGGTTGACAGCTCAGTTACGCCCTCGTGCGATACTGCCTAGAAATGCACCACCGTCACTTTGGAGGGTCAGGCAAGGACAACAACAAATCATTATGATAAAATGTCGAAAAGTGTGAGGTGAAATGCTGACTTCTTTATCTGCTACATTGAAACAAAAGAAGTGACCAAGTAGAGTAAATTCTGTGATCAAAAGATCTGTGTTGTCTAAAATATTCTTTGATATTACATGTATATATAAATTCAACGGTTCGTCTCTTTGTAAGCATATATATTTGTCTTCTTGGTTTTCTGTAGCAACAAACAACAAACTTTTTTGGGACGGATGTGGAATTCATTTTCTCCTGCCCGTATAGACCATGTGTGTGTTCAGAACTACTAAAAGTACAATGTAATCTCTAGTCAGTTGTAATCTTGAGGCTTCTCGCCTTTGGACGTCTTTTGCGGTTTGTTTTGCTGTATATTGATCATGACTTGCGGCCGTGCTTTTTTCTGTCAGTTCACCTTAGTTCACCCCAGTTTCCTACTCTCCCCACCTGTTTGAAGATTACCCTTGTACTGGCAAACAACTTCAGGGTATTACAAGCTGTGTTGGTGTGATGGTTTCTCAGAAGCCATGCGTGGGTAGCGCCTGGGATCATTGGTAAAGATTATACATACTGAATCTTACATGCACTCGTAGTAGCTATATGTGCTTGCTTGGTAGACAGCCTCTTTAAAGCTAAGAAGAGCATATGGCAAGTGACGTGGTTTTGACTAAGCCTGGAATAAAGTGGATAACAGTACAGAAGCAAATGTAAAGCTAGCCATAGCGCCTGGATTATGGTTTCACATTAGAAAACTTTTACACTTACACTTGCCCTCCCAAATGCTGGCAAGAGTTGCGGTGCATTTCTGTGTACTTAGTTCTGGAAAAGAAGCCCCTTTTTTATGGATTTATGTGGTGTGTCAGTGCATGGTGCTTCAGGGACTTACCGGCTTCAAGAGACATCAAAACACGTCCAGCATCGCACTTTGTTGTCAAATTCGCCCGTGTAAACAAGGATGTACTGCCATTTTAGTTCTTCTTCTGCTCAGGAAAGTAGCAAATAATTCGGATTCGGTTATTCGGATGGGGGTGGGGGGCTTTCAAGTACTTATGTGAAGATATGTATACTTTATCACGGGTTTCGTGTGCCTTCTTTATGGATATATAGAATTACAATGTCCCCATGAAAAACAGGGAAAGACAATGTACAGGCTTTTACTAAATAACCGACATTTCTGTGTACGTTATGACACCATGACAAAAATCGATGAAACCTTGCACACATACTACAAGTAGACACTACATAATACCCTCATGTCACGGTTGTCAATTCAAATGCTTGAATTCCACTCCTTCCAATCCTCATTCAACCCCTACAACATAACTTCTGTGCAAACAGTTAAAATCGATGAAACCTTCCACACATGCTTTAACAAGTAAATACATAATACCCTCCTGGCACGTGTATTTAATGCCAATGTCAAAGTAATTTTTCATTCCACAAATGGTTGACCTTTATCTGTTGCTCAATGTCAATTCAAATTCTTTTCAACCCTTATGCTGAGGTCACATTTCGAAGCCGGGGCCAGGCCTGGTTGTTTACGTGAACGAAAAATACACACAATTCATATCAAGAATATGTACAGATAGTGCTTATAATAAATTGTTGCCGATGTTTTGTGCTCTTATGTCTTTTACATCAAACTTTTCCTTCCCAGAAGTTAATATAAACTGCCCGGCCGGGCCCCGGGGTGGAAATATGACCTCAGCATTAGAAATCTTCCTTCAACCCTTACATCTGTAATACGTACCATCCGCCCCAGGTCTATATAGAATTTACAAAACCCGGCAAGTAAGCCGGCTCACACGGTCTCGCCTGAAACGCTTGGAGAGATTATGAATGAGAGACGATTAATTCAGTTAATTCCTGAATCCAGAAGGGACGTTAATCGTACTGTGTAAGCCTCAGGTGGCTTATTAACTTGCACACACGCACGCCTCTGAGGAAGTGATTAGCCTTCAGGGCGGCTCAAATGGTGTTTTAATGGCAGAGAACACTCAAAGGAAACCTAAGATTACCAGGTTAACGAAAATAGATATGTCATTAGCAGTGCCAACACGTCTTGATTCTGTACGCTACATGTTTGAATGATAAGGAGACCACGGGTGTGAGTGGGACTCGAGAGCATTCCGAGGGAAGAAGGAGTTCTACATACTTATAATCAGCAATAATATTGTATACAATATATACATTATTAGCTATATCCAAGCATCTTCCCAAAATGTCTAATAAAAAGTATTACACTGATGTATATAGCACACTATTACCAATATCAAAGCACCTTCCCTTTCAAATTCAGAATGCATACATGTATGTCTAATACAATGCTACAAACACACTGGACCAAGTCAACGATGTAAACAAAAAATAGAAAGAAGTATAGTTTTACTCAATCGACTTGATAACTAGTATATCAAAAGACAACACTGAAGATACACTGCATACTGTCCATCAGAACCAAAGACTTAGATTTAAACGCATCTACAATCACACCACTGCCAATCACAACATCTAGAGTGGTCGTCTCCGGACCAGCCAAAGAATGGGGCCACATGAATCTTGCTTTGGTGGAATCTGAATCCAATGCGCTTCGTCTGATCATGGCCTTATATCAACGCATCTACCATCAAACCACTGACAACTAGAGTTCCCCGATCTCATACCTTCGCCAAATGATGTTAATCTTTATGGCTGACAAATGATAGATTATTCCCCCTACTTGTGCAAATAGGATCCTCATTTTCATGAATTATATTAGTTTATCATATTCTCAACCAAAAGACAGTCTTATATTAACAAACAATGCCATTCTAGCATTTCCTCATAAATTATGCAAATGAGGTCCTGATTTGAATACATTATGTTTAATGATGTTCACCTTCACTGTACTTTCAAAGACCATAAGTATGAAATTCCAGGCAGTTATCATTACAGAATTATAACATTTTCTCATTAATTATGCAAATTAAGTCTTCATTTACATAATCAATATCTGCCTGTGTTTATCTCGTTCTCAATTACCAATGCCACAAGCTTCAATAGTCCTATGATGGAATGCAGCTGATTTATAGAATTTCTCCATGAATTATGCTAAATTACATCCATATTTGCATAATTGTCACATAATTATATTAAGCATCACGTAAGCTACCTGCATACCAAAAATCACGACGATCCGTCAACCGGTTCTTGAGTTATTCTCTTTTGAATATATTCAAACAGATAGCCCTGCAGTTCCAGAGCAAGGCGCTAGGGGGCCCAAACTCACGTCACTTCTTTCCCAGCACAAGAGCTACGTACCATCCGAATTTCGTCACCCTAGCATGTCTAGATCATGAGATATCAAAACCGGAAGTTCAGCTGCAGTACCGTAACAAGCTGCTAGGGGGCCCGAAAATCAAATCATTTTGAGGTCTCATTAAGACCTACCCACCTACCAAGTATCAAGACAATCCATCAAGGCCTTCTCAAGTTATCGTGTTTACAGACAGACAGACAGACACACACACACACACACACATACACGAACGCCTCTGAAAACATAACCTTCTTGGCGAAGGTAATAACATCTACAGCGATCCTCTCCGGACCAGCCCAAAGAAGCCTTCGCGAAGCTGCGGGTTTCTGTAGGCGTAGATGATCGGGTTGGAGAAGGTGGACAGCAGGGAAAACAGCACGGCGAACCGCTGCCATCTCCCGTCCGTAGCGGCGGAGGCCTCGTCCCCTACCGCGTTCATCCGGATGATGACGCCGAAGTACGGAGCCCAGGACACCACGTAGGCCACCACGATCAGCAGGACCAAGGTGGCCGACCTCATCCGAGCTCTGAACTCCGGGGAGATCTGAACTCCATCCCAGGGCAAGGTGACCGGTTGTGGCGGCTTGAACTGTCCAGCAGATTCCTGAAAGGACATGTGTGTTGTGTCTAGCAAAAACCAAGAGAGGCAACATTTGCAAAGGAAAAGCATAATAACGTTAACCTTCACATGGTCTAGCCTAACAAACTGTTATCCTGTAACTCATCCCCTTGCTCAAACACATATATGATATCAAGAACCTTCTTGGTAATATATCATGCTGAGCAGCCTCTCCAGGTCTGTCCTGCAACAAAATGTAACCCAACACCATAGGCGTCTGATACAGCACCAGTTACCATGGTGACAGACGTCTGGCCCAGGCCGTTTTCTTTGAAACGTTTGGAACGAAAGAAGAGGAGAAAGAAGAGAAAACAGAGCAGAAACAAAATACTTTCCTTCTGTAAAGGTAAACATTATGATAGCACGGCAACAGTATTTTAAATGTTGGTGTTAAGGAAAAGTAGATCCTACCAGAGATATCTGATCTTGCTTGTCGCAGTCCTCAGCGAGACTGACGTCCGCTGACACCACTTCTGACAGAGAGACGGCCTGGGCGCACGGCTGGGGGGACGGGAAGGTGGGATCCTCGGGTGTGAATGGGGAAAAGAACGGCTCGTCACGGGCACCGCCGCCGTCTGACGTCCCCGGGCTGCGGTCGGACTCCGGGCTAGGCACACGGGAGGTCGGGACCACCACCGTCTCCCCGTACTCCATCTCAGACCGGGTCTCAGGGTTGATTCGGCTGTGCTGACGTCGTTTCAACTCACGCCAGATCCTTGAAAAAAGCAAAAACCTTATTTAACACAAGGAAGCTATTTTACCTCCTAGATTAACATGAGGCAAAAGTCTTAACATGAGGAATACACGTACATTAGTGGCCTGTACATGCCAGAGAATACTAGTAAGATATTCTGTGAAACATTCTACTGTTACAAGTGTACACCTACCACTACTACCGTCAGTCAGTCTCAAAAAAATATGAATTTAACTGCGCAAATAACAGGTTGGCTTTGTTCCAAGTTTTACAAGTCAAATTTGAGCCTTAAAACATATATGATAATATATATGATAATATATATGATAATATATATGATAAGTGCAATCCTACATTACTATTAATTAGTCTTGTAGATCCATGCAGTTCTCTGTTGGAGCAGTGTGATTTAGTATAGTATAATATCATTATATTTCTATTAATAACTTACTTGCAATAGCAAACCGACATGATGATCATGGTTAATGCGATGCAAATGTTGGCCATGGCCTGTCTGCTCTTCCGAGCCGTTCCCAGGTATCTGAAAGATAAAAAAATGCATATCCATGTACTAAGTAACGTTATTATTTACAAATACAGAAATCGAACTTAAGTCATAAGGATAATGAAGGTGACAGTGGTCGTTGAAAATTTCACCTCTTTGTAATCCTTGTGTTGGAATAAATTTCTACATTTTACTATGATTACTACCAACACAGATGAACTTTCATAACCTTGTATAGACGAATGCAGATGTCATTCAACTGTTCTTTAGACAAATGCAAATATCATTCAACTTTTCTTTAGACAAATACAAACATCATTCAACTGTTCTTAGGATTAATATTTATTTACTATATTCATATGCTTGTAGCATGATATTCGGAACATATGACTTTAGGTTAAAAACATTGCCGCAAGATATACGTTCATGCCATGTGTGGGTTGAGATAACACGTCGAAGTAAAGAAAAAATCTATATCTACTGTCGCAAAAATACATACTTGCAGACGAAGAGGGGAGGGTTGAAGTAGTTGTTCCATCCCTCAAGTAGAGGATGCATCATCGTTACCATGGCAATGAGAAGGGACAGACCAATCAGAAGAGCGGTTCGCGTTGACGTCATCAACTTGTTGTAGTCCAAGGGAAAACAGATATACCTAGAAGAAAAAAAAAGAAAAACTTGTGTTAATAAAGAAAGTATACAGAGGGGGGAGGGGTTACTAGTATAAACAACGACCAATTAAATAAGTTGGTTTCACAGATGACTTCGCATACATACACAAACTAATACCTACATGCACGAATACATGCATATAAATGCACGAGGTATGTAGTGCATACATAAATGCACTATGTATGTGCATACTGTCATGCGCATTCTTTTATTGCAGCATTTGAAAAAACAAGACATGGTGACTGCACATTCAAGTTTTCAACTTATTTTTATGCCGCCACCAATGCAAAGACAAATATGATACTCATTTTCGCTTTGATGTAGTGAGGAAAGTCGTGTAAAGTGACTTTCTCAAGGGCAAAAGATGCACAAATTCTTCACCCTTTTTCATCTACCGTCCACAGCTCTTAGCACTTAGCAGTTCCCGTGCCTGTCTGTCTGGCATATCCAGTCACTATTCTTTATTTAGCTGTAATTGAAGTAGAGTGCTAATGTGAGAGGTCTCGATCCTAACTCAAGTCTGACATACATGTATTGGAAACACAAAACCTCTTTTAAGAGGTTCTGTGTTTCCAATGTGTCAGACTTGAAAACTAAAAACTTTTTACAAACTAAAAAGGAAAGACGAGAAAGTTTAATGCAAGTACTTGCCCGAAGGCTAATTGCAAGTACATGTATTAAACATGAAAATAAAGGATGGACAACGGATAACAATATAGTATGTGGCTACTCTAACTACTAAACACTACATTCTAACTTATTGGGGCTGATTTATTTATTTTCAGTAGACTTTATCTATAATGTGTGGGTTTTGTGATGTTAAGAGGAGAGTACAGTGTAGTTTTCTTTTTGTCTGTAAATATGGACGACTTAGGATAGAATTTGGTGCTTTGGCCTCCTCAAACATGGTCCTTTCTTTCGTGATCGTAGAAGAAGACATAGGAAATATAAGCAGCAGTATACATCTCAACTGCAATGCGAGTAGGACCATTAATTTAATTAGCCTGACACTGAAAATATAACAAGGGGTTGTCTTGCTTCAGATACGAGGAAAAATGTAATCCAATGATTAGTCATGACTTACTGATATGCACAGTCTCCATCCACTGTGTACTTAATCTACTATATATAGGCCAGTATAAGTCAAGCATAGTCTGGGCAAGCTGGGTTAATATGGCGACGTAAAAGACTTACCAGTTGCATGTATAAGAGAATAATGTACGTGTTTCAAATACGTAATGTATTTTGGATTAAGAAAATATCTCCATTACAGTAAATTTTTCCTGTGTTGGAATGTGACTAGGGATATGCTAGAGATACACTTCCTCGCTTTTTAACTTAAACAAATCTCTTGTTTTGTTGGGAAAAACATGTGCTTCCCCTCCAAAGATGTGACAGCCTTTTCATTCAACTTGTTCTGCCTGTGCCATTATGCCTTGTTTTCAAGTTGCCGATTAGCAATTAGTAGCCAGTAATATTAATCTTATTACATTAGAGCCCCTTCCTTCGACCTTGTCCCTAACACTAGCTAACCAAGGTTGGTTGGAGTTCGGGAACAGTCTGACCAGATTTAGGCCACCCCTACCTTTTTATACGAATCGAATGGAATTTGAGTCAAATTTGAACCACGACAACACTACTGACCTACTCCCAACCACCGGCCAACCACCAGCCGACTTGTGCAGCCGAACAGTGGCCGACCTCGCAGAACACCGACCAACCACAGCCGACCCTGCTGGCGACCTAATCCTAATCCGTGGTCGGCCAGTGTTCGGTAGGCCACTTTCGGCTATGTGTAACAGGGGCAAGTCACATTTGCAGGCCGGGGCTGAGAAATAGACAGTTCGTATCAAGAATATATCTAAATAGTGCCTATCATTAATTTTCCCCCACTTTTTTTGTCTTTTGTTTTCTTTTATATCATATTTTTTCCATAAACTGTCCGGCCGGGCCCCGGGTTGGAAAGTGAGACCTTACAGCATTACATTGTATTAGCCTGGGTACCAAACCTATTTTATAATTAGCTCCTGAGTCCTAAGCTAAAATTTGGTTTGGTGACCAGGCTAACATTGTACAATGTACATTGCTACTGCAATTTGGTGACCAGGCTAACATTGTACAATGTACATTGCTACTGCAGTTATTTTTGTCACAAAAACACATACCAGTATCTGTCGATGGAAATCGGCGCGATGATGTTGATGGAGAACTGTGCCCCGATCAGGTACACCGTGTCGATGATGAGGAACACGCCGTCACACGCCAGCGGTTTCCCGTTAAACAAGAAGATCGTTGCCATAGGGACTTTGCCGAGGAGTTGCAAGACGTCGGCGGCGGCCAGAGCGCAGAGCAGGGCGTTCCCGGGCGTTCTCAGCTCCTGTACGCACGACACCGTGATGAGAAGCGCCATGTTCCCACAGACCCCCAGAACGGTACAGGCCGTCAGCCAAACCATCTGCAGTTCTCGGTACGGCGGGTCGGCGTAGTAGAACGGCTCCCAGTCAAAGGCAGTGGAGTTGGTGAGGCCGAGCGAATCGTTGGTGCTGTTCGTTGCCATCTCAAGCAACATACGCTCCGCACAACACAACACAACCCATACAACGGAAAGTACGTACCACGCAGGCGACTGGCTCGGTCTGCTATGGCGTAGACACTAGCTACGCCAGTGCGTACATGTCATAATATTAAAATGAGGAATTTGAATATCATAATGAGGCATCTGAATGAAAGCTGGCTATTTTTTAGATGTCTAGTTATTTTAAAAGATGATAACTGTCTACTGCCCCTCCCTACTAATTATTCTACCAATTATGGAGTAATTATACTTGTGGAACAAACAAGTCTATTTGAAAGTCTTGTTGAATTATCTCATGTTTTTGTCATCTGTTGCACACATCATGGAGGTATAAAGGATATAAAAACAGTGTAAAGCCTTCATGTCTTAGTGATAGGTTTAATCCGGCTCTTCGTGACACGCAAGGCGGAAGCCCAGACTTAAGCCATTCGTGGTTCATCCTTGTTGTCCGTACATGGGAACTCTCAAAGTTGAAAAACAAGTATGACAACTACCGTAAATAATTTCATCAGGTTGGTGAATAATTGGATATAAAAGTTCTTATCCACAACCACTTGTTTACAAGAGCCGACGTTTCGGTGACCGCCTGTCATCTTCATCAGGTTATAGACAATATATCTATATATTGTATCTTACAATACATTTGGAACCGCATATCTCACTATGTTGTAACAATATCTCTATGTATGTCACAAATAATTTATCGCATTCAAAGCAGTAACACCTAGCTTCAGTGCACATTGGACCTGTAACACCTAGTTTCAGTGCACAGTGAACCAGTAACAGCTAGTTTCAGTGCACAGTGAACCAGTGACAGCTAGTTTCAGTGCACAGTGAACCAGTGACAGCTAGTTTCAGTGCACAGTAAACCAGTTACACCTAACTTCAGTTCACAGTGAACCAGTAACAGCTAGCGTCAGTGTACAGTGAACCAGTAGCAGCTAGCTTCAGTGCACAGTGAACCAGTAACACCTAGTTTCAGTGCACAGTGAACCACTAACACTTAGTTTCAGTGCACAGTGAGCCAGTAACACCTAGCTTCAGTGCACAGTGAACCAGTAACAGCTAGCTTCAGTGCACAGTGAACCAGTAACACCTAGCTTCAGTGCACAGTGAACCAGTAACAGCTTGCTTCAGTGCACAGTGAACCAGTAACACCTAGCTTCAGTGCACAGTGAACCAGTAACAGCTTGCTTCATCAATCTGCAAAGAAGTTATGGCCAGCCACATGAAATGACAATGATAATGACTGTCAGTCGCTTACCTTTGGCAGTATACAAAGTAGAGGGCGACCATTATTTGACCCTTATTTCCTAAGGCCAAGTAGAACTGTAATGTCTTACATAAAGCATTGCGCCTCTGTAGTTGTAGTTTGCCGTGAAAGAGGTCAGCGACCTTCAGGATTACTGTGTGTTCGCATCTTCATCGACGTGTATGGATCGTAATCCCTTGTACTCACTGTCAAAACTTACAAATACATGTACGTGTAATTAGACCCAGTAGGGTAACACGATGTCGACATGTCCCCACTGCAACTGATTAAATGGCACCCCCCGCTGTACTCTCACTGCAATAATACATGAACTGAGTTTCGCCACTGAATCCATTTCCAGGGATCGTCACAAAGTGTATCCCCATATTAGCTCTTTCTTTGACAGAGAGCCAAAAAAATGCATCACGACAGATATCCTTTACCATGTTGGTCGGGCGAGCGACTGTAGAAGGGATTGAAAGGTTTTCGTAGCACGTCAGAGACAGAGAGCCCGTGTCATGTATAGAATAGGTTGAAACACTGAATAGCCGTTCCTTATTCACAACCACTTGTTTAACATTAAAAGCTGACGTTTCGACGACCGTCTGTCATCTTCATCAGGGCAATTATGACTGGTTCACCGTGCACTGAAACTAGCCTGTTACCGGTTCACTGTGTACTGAAGCTAGGTGTAACTGGTTTACTGTGCACTGAAACTAGGTGTCACTGGTTCACTGTGCACTGAAGCTAGGTGTTACTGGTTCTCTGTGCACTAAACCTAGGTGTTACTGGTTCACTGTGCACTGAAGCTAAGTGGTTTATTGTGCACTGAAACTAGGTGTTACTGGTTCACTGTGCACTGAAGCTAGGTGTTACTGGTTCACTGTGCACTGAAGCTGGGTGTTACTGGTTCACTCTGCACTGAAGCTAGGTGTTACTGGTTCACTCTGCACTGAAGCTAGGTGTTACTGGTTCACTCTGCACTGAAGCTAGGTGTTACTGGTTCACTCTGCACTGAAGCTAGGTGTTATTGCTTAAAGTTATGACATACATAGATATTGTTCCAAATGTTAAGAATTGTTATATACAATATACTAGTATATTGCATATACTAGTAACCTGATGAAGATGACAGGCGGTCACCGAAACGTCGGCTCTTGTAAACAAGTGGTTGTGGATAAAGAACTTTTATATCCAATTATTCACCAACCTGATGAAATTATTTACGGTAGTTGTCATACTTGTTTTTCAACTTTGAGAGTTCCCATGTACGGACAACAAGGATGAACCACGAATGGCTTTAGTCTGGGCTTCCGCCTTGCGTGTCACGAAGAGCCGGATTAAACCTATCACTAAGACATGAAGGCTTTACACTGTTTTTATATCCTTTATACCTCCATGATGTGTGCAACAGATGACAAAAACATGGGATAATTCAGCAAGACTTTCAAATAGACTTGTTTGTTCCGCAAGTATAATTACTCCATAATTGGTATGATAATTCGTAGGGAGGGGCAGTAGACAGTTATCATCTTTTAAAGTAACTAGACATCTAAAAATAGCCAGCTTTCATTCAGATGCCTCATTGTAATATTCAAATTCCTCATTTTAATATTATGACATGTACGCACTGGCGTAGCTAGTGTCTTTGCCATAACAGACCGAGCCAGTCGCCTGCCTGGTACGTACTTTCCGTTGTATGGGTTGTGTTGTGCGGAACGTATTCTGTTTGAGATGGCGACGAATGGGACAAACGACTCGCTCGGCCTCACCAACTCCACTGCCTTTGACTGGGAGCCGTTCTACTACGCCGACCCGCCGTACCGAGAACTGCAGATGGTTTGGCTGACGGCCTGTACCGTTCTGGGGGTCTGTGGGAACATGGCGCTTCTCATCACGGTGTCGTGCGTACAGGAGCTGAGAACGCCCGGGAACGCCCTGCTCTGCGCTCTGGCCGCCGCCGACGTCTTGCAACTCCTCGCCAAAGTCCCCCCGAGTATGATCTTCTTGTTTAACGGGAAAGCGCTGCCGTGTGACGGCGTCTTCGTCATCTTGGATACCGTGTATTTCACCATGGCACAGTTTTCTGTCAACATCATCGCGCCGATTTCCATCGACAGATACTGGTATGTGTTTTCGTACGTAATATTTGTTAGGTTGCCCTTAAAAAACAAAATAGATATGTTTTAAGTATCACGCGAAAACCTTTTCCTAAGGGCGAAAATATTTGCGATAAGGTGCCTTGATAATACATGTACATGAATACTTTTATAAGCGTAGGAAGTGTTAAGCGATTACCTGAAAGCAAGTGGATTATGGCAGCACACAAGAAGGTGCAATCTGACTGATACGGAAAGCTTGGCTAATAAGGGACGGATCACGGAAAACATCGGGGCGGGGTTTGACAAGAGACGGTAATCTTGTTGTCTAATAGATGCAGAAGGTTTTTCCAGAATAGAAGGAATCATAGATGCATATCATCGTTGAAATGCATTGTGATCATTCCGATCTTCGTGAAAGAGCAAAATATTGTAGACGGTTGGATTTTTGTGTTCGCAGCTGTAACTCACGATCCGTTGGCTACATTGTTGTGTAGTTTGGCATGTACTTTGTTAGTATACTCTACAACTTCACTAGCTTTGTATGTATAATGTCAGTTAATCAGGCTTAAATTTCCCTATTAGAGCGGTCTTTTATCTTAATTTTTTTCAGTCATGAATGCACTTTTCAGTCAACAAGGCCCCTTTGCGGCACTACGAAAGAGCGATTATGGGGTTAAATCATAACATCCCTTTCACCCTACAATAAAACAACATGTTCACCCTCCCAGGTACATCTGCCATCCCCTGAAGTACAGCGAAACTATGACGTTACCGCGAATCGCTCTCCTGATTGGTCTGTCGTTCCTCTTTGCCATTGTAACGATGGTTCATCCTCTACTAGAGGGACTGAACAACTACTTCAACCCGCCCTACATGGTCTGCAAGTAGGTATTTTAGTGGATTATGTCAGAACATGAAGTTTAACTCCATGGTCAGAACATGTAAGAAAATATATATGCCCCTCCTCCCCACCTTTGCTCGCACTTTGACTGACGCACACTTTGATGTACAATTTCCCATGTCGGTGAGCACGTTTATGCACATCTGTTTCCCCTCAAGATATGCTGTGTGGCAAACATGTTTTGTATCACATTTCCTGCAGTCGCCTACTGTTGAGTTTTGTGTGTTCTGTCTGTAATTACCTTCATGAAAATGGAGGTATTGTTCCACCAGTTTCATAATGGATATGTTTGATTTCAGTCCGTCCCAAAGGGAGAACGTCATTGATCAAGTCTACCTCTGGTAGTGCAAGCTGTTTTTAGAGATGATTTTTTTTTCGTTTCATGACCTCCTTGACAGCTAGTGTTGTTTCTCTTGCACGATAAAGAAAAACTTGTAGACATCATGGTGAACGAGGACACGAGGTACCATCACACAGGATCTAAATATTTCATGGAGGTCTGAGATCTGCGAACTCTTGTTTTGTTTGTTCCTTACTTGACTGGCCGTACCTGTTTCAGATACCTAGGCCCAGCACGGAAGAGTAGACAGGCTATGGTCAACGTGTTTCTCCTTCTGCCTATGATCACCATGATGTTTTGCTATTACAGGTAAGTTATACTTCCTCACTTACGGTACTAAATATTCAATATATTACACACTGGTGTTGTACCATAAATGTTAGTTAGTTAGTTAGTTTGTTTGTTTGTTTGAACCATTCTTTATTCAGTCAGTCGAAGGACAAATGCATAGAGAGGCACTATGCAAAGAAGTTCAAAATAAAGGTATATTGAATCTACAAATTCTTGTTTATTCTTGTAGAATTTGGCGCGAACTAAAACGACGTCAGAACCGGCACAACAACAAGATCTGCCCCGAGACGCGCTCGGAGATGGAGTACAGTGAGACGGTCGTCCCGACCCGGCCCAGACGCGCTCCCGCCACGGACACCCGCCGGATATCCTTCCTCTCGGACGGCGATGACACCGACGATGCCCCTGCCTTCTCCCCGGACGATGACACCCCCAGCTCTGCCTCCCAAGCTGACGCCGTCACGACAAAAATTTGCTTGGCTGAAGGACGCGATAAACAGGACCAGAGTTTCCCGGTAGGATCTATGTTTTATATTTCACTACATACCATGGTATGGATGGAACATATTGTTTTCCCCCATGTTTCCTCCTCCTCCGCCACCTCCTTCTCCGGCCTCTTAAGCTTCTTCTTCTTCTTCCCCTCCTCTTTCATCTGGTCAAATTGATTCAATTTCTTTATTTTTGGGCCAAATGACCTACAATTTGGTGGGCAAATACGTTTTTTGAAGAATATTCTATTTTTTGAAGAACATTCTACCTTTTCAGGAATCTTCCGGGCAGTTCAAGCCGCCCCGGACCAGCTGGCCCTGGGATGGAGTTCAGATCTCCCCGGAGTTCAGAGCTCGGATGAGGTCGGCCACCTTGGTCCTGCTGATCGTGGTGGCCTACGTGGTCTCATGGGCTCCGTACTTCGGCGTCCTCATTCGCAGCAACGCGCTCGGGGACGAGGCCTCCGCCGTTACCGACGGAAGGTGGACGCGGTTCGCCGTGCTGTTTTCCCTGCTGTCCACCTTCTCCAACCCGATCATCTACGCCTACAGAAACCCGCAGCTTCGCGAAGGCTTCTTTGGGCTGGTCCGGAGAGGATCACTGTAGATGTTGTTGACAGCGGTTTGATTGTAGATGCGTTTGAATTGTGATGAACAGTGTACGGTGTATCTTCAGCATTATCTATTGATATCTTATGTTATAATAATATAAAGTCAATTGAGTGAAACCAAAAACTATACTTCATTCTTTATTCCTTGAACATCGTTTACATCGTTGACTTGGTCAAGTGTGTTTGTATTGAACATATTCATTCTTAATTTGAAAAGGAAGATGCTTCGATGTCGCTTATAGTGTGCTATATGCACCAGTGTACTGTACACAGGTGTTATATACACAATAAATTGACCTATTTGCGACGACTTCTTAGGGCTGGAGGCGACCACTGCATACTTACAGTCAATAGTCTGTTTGTAGACATGTTGAAATTGCTTTAAAATGGTATTGTCGATAGTGTGCTAGTATATCAGCCGTTCAGAGTGTCATCGTCTTGTTGATGTAATCTTGCTAACAGTGCTAACAGGTGAGTGAGTGTAACGACTGTGTATCTACCATTCCTTCCTGCAGTTATTGATATTCTCATTGGGTTTGCTGTCCCTCCTCTAGAATTTCTTCATTTTTGACATTGTGCAGCATACCAGTAAACAACAGACTATTAGTAATGGAAACTGCCTGTTATTTAGCGGCTAAAGTTTCACTTACTCTAGAATTATTTCATTTTTGACACAGTACAGCATACATAATAAACTACAGACGATTAATTATAAAGGATATAGTCTGTACTTAGCGGCAACATTAGGCCAAATCGTCCACTAACTGTTTCAAAACGTATTTTACTCTGTATCCGATGTAGCATCGACTTTGTATATACCAGAAATAAGACATAATCTAAAATGACAGAGAAACTGTTCCAACTGTTCGCCCTACAGCAACCTGTATAGTTCGATATATGTATTGTGTGTTGCTATTATGCATTGGTAAGATCTAATCAAACGTAAATTGCCTGGAAGGATAATTTGTCTAAATGATTTGCACATGTTAGTTAACCCTCTCAGTTCATGTATAAATAAATGTACTTCCATCAATTTTGACCTTGTGCAATGGCTTTTATTGTTAAAACGTTGAAGATGGGTGGGTAAGTATAGACAACAAAGAAATGTACATGATTTTAGGTCACCGTCCTTAAGAGCATTCGCGAATCGTGAAGCAAACGTGCTAGATTCGACAGTTGGTCGAGCCAAAGATCTAAAATGTCTCCTCACCATTCATATGTGGTGGAATCTCTGAGCGTTCAGCACGGAAGCAAAAGGTCCCGAGTTCGAATCCTACGAGGCCGTCGATCTTGTGCCCTTGGGAAAGGCACTTTATACGAATTTCTTCACTTTACTCTGATGAAAATGAGTATTTCTGTTGTTCGTTCAGATAGTTGAAAAAACTTGAGTGTGCCGTAACCATGTCTTGTAATAGATTTTGAAAAAAATCTCTAGTCTTCTCTAGTGTCAACAAATTTTAGATATCTACATCCCTGTCTCGTGACCACTTCATGTAACCAATAATTAACTGTGGGTGTAGAATTTCTTTCATTGACGTCATGGTACGCTTGAGTGAGGGAAGACAACTCGCCAGGAATAGAATAGACACAACACCGCCCTTCAGAGCAACGGGGAGATGTTTTACAGCACTTTAATGGACTGTGCTGCGGTTAAGTATGGAGTAAAAAAACTAGGGACAGATAGTTCATATGACAGAAAGGAATCAGCCATTTTACAAACGGTTTTTTTTTTCAAGCTACAGTTTGCATGTCAGTTTAAGTAACTCCTTTGGGACAGCAGCAGATGCATTAAAAGGTTACAGTTGGTTGGCACACCACCTTAAGTATAGCCTGTATCAGTGACAAACACTTCACAGAGTATGGCGAGTCTACATGTAGACATTCAGTCTCCTTTTCATTTGTTGACGATCTTTCCGATTATAGCCTGTATATAGTTAGTACAATAGTAGATGGACTCATAATGCATTGTGGATCACATGATAATTATGGGTTCCATATTGCTTTTTCTGGTGTTTCTTCTTCTTCTTCTCCTCCTCCTCCTTCTCCTCCTGCCATTTTTTAAATGGATTCAGCTTCTTCATTTTAGGGCCCAAGGTCCTGAAATTTGGTATGGAGGTACAGTGGGCAAATACCCCTAGGCGTTTTTTAAATTTTTGTGATACGGGCTTTTAGAATGGTTTTATTTGAGTTTTTTGGCTGTGTTATAGCTAATGTATTACTGTGTTAGTGTGCCATGTTTACCACGTTTGGGTATGAGTCATCACAATGGAATGCAGGGCATCAACCAATAGGCATGCAGCTTTCCTCTATTCTTCTTGCTGATTGGCTGTTGGGATTTAACTTGATTAACAACTGCACAGTGCATTTCCACCTGCACAGAGCATTTCTTGCTGATTGGCTGTTGGGATTTAACTTGATTAACACCTGCACAGGGCATTTCCATACTGACAGTATGTCTGTATTCAAGTGTTTTGGTAGGTATTTCAAGCTTTCCTGCTCCAGCATTGGAATGCGGGCAATGAACGTTATTTTTATTTTGAAAATCAACAGTTTGCATTATGCAATTAAAAATCCTAACCAATAAAGTAGGGAATAGC